TGAGATGGCCTGCAAGTCAAACAAAAGAGCAAGTGAGATGGAGCCGGGGGTGCCTTCCTTTGTTTTAGTTGGAGTGACTACAGAACATCTTTGCCTGTGTGTGTGTGTACTAAACACATAGTGTGTTATGTGTAAGTAGTGGTTACGACACCACAAGTCTGAGATGGGCTCACACACCAAACGCGCTTAGAAACATTTCATTTAAACTGTGCTTTGTGCAGTTCAGGTGAGAAAGTGACAACAATGACCTCTCGATCACATCAGAGTTTCTCTCTTATTGTCCGGCTCAACTCAGGTGGGAATGGGAATTTTTTCAAAACCACAAAGACATGTGGGTTCACTTTTAGCAGTGTTTTAGGTAAACTGCTTTTTCTTTTAGGGGTTATTTTTGGACATTAAATAACTAAATTAATGTTGAGGAATGGTCTCATCTCCAAATAAATCAATCAACCAATTCCACTCGTCACATGGAGACGTCTCACCTTCAGCCAGCTTGATGTTTAAAACTCTAAGTAAAGTAAGTAAGTAAGTAAAATTTATTTATATAGCACATTTCACAGATAAAAATCACAAAGTGCTTTACAATAAGATCAGACATACAAGTTAAAATTAATTAAAAGCCCGTTTGTATAAAAATGTCTTCAGCTGCTTTTTAAAGGAGTCAGTAGAGTCTAGACAGCGTAAAGACAACGGCAGAGAGTTCCACAGCCTTGGTGCCAACTAAAACTAAATGAAATGCAGTCGTTATTAACACTGGTGTACCTGCTGTAAAAAGTTTGTTTTGCTCCAACAGATCAAGCAATGGCATCAATGAATGAAACACTAACAGCAGTAAGGCTGCAGGACAGGAAGGAAGAGAGCGAAGCTACCTGCACAGCAGCATGTCCCTGCATCCTGTCCTTCACCCGGCAGGAGATCAACATTTATGTTTTTGTAATGATCAGAAGCTTGTCAAAATACCAACTACCCAAATTACCTTGGTTTTTCTATTTCACATTGTCAGGCTGAAATAAATTGATATTTTTCTCTTTTTTTCTTGTTTTACCTGAGCTTCAAATACATAAACCTATCTCTAGCACTTCAGCGCGCTTCTCACCTCTAGTTTTTGCGCCTTGTCCCTGCTGAGAGGCTCCAGGGGGAAGCTGAGGTTATTGGCCTCAGCAAGCGAGCGCAGGTCAAAGTAATACTTGGCGTAGACGCTGGACGGCACGTTGATATTGAACTGCAGCAATTCCAGGAACTGACGCTCCAGCTCATTCCTTTTGCCAGAAAAAAGAAAGGGAAGACTTGTGAGTTAGTTAATTAGTCTTATGCTATTTAAATAAAGGTTAGTTTGATTGGTGAAGCCAACATCTCACAGAGTGGCGTAGGCTGCACTGAGCCTACGCCACCAAACATAAGCCTCTTCTTTATGATAAAAGGGAATGCTATCTAAGCAAGGAACACTGAGCGTTATGTGTAAGAAAGAATTAATCCCACATGAAAGTGCTATTGTCATGCAGTGCCTCGTGCTCAGCAGCTCTGTGATCCTCGGTGCAGCGTGATGACAGACGCTTTCATCTGTTACTCTTCAGTTGTGACCAAATCTTTCTGCACTGTAACCACTAGCCATCTCTTCTTCCTACCCTTTGTTGCTCACCCACACATTTTCACAGCCACGCAGCAACAGACGGGCTAAATTTAGGCTCTGCTGTAGCCAAACTCTGCCTAATAGCGCTGCTTTTTCTTCATCTTTCCTCATTCAGCCTGTTTTCATCTGTTTCTTTTTGTGTTGTTCTGCTCCTCAGTGTTCTCCCAAGACGTTTC